ACCAAAACAAGTCTTCAACTGTAGATAAATGAAGATTGGTTGATTCTGAGCTGTAGAAAGCCAGAGGAAGCCCTCTGCTCTGACCCCATGCCCTCCAGCATCACAGGTGGTGCATAAGCACAAAGACAAGTTGGATGTAGATGCTGCTGTGGGCACTTTACACAGGCCAGATTGTAAATTTGTCCATTTATGAGTGTCCTGCGGGTGTTCCCACCAACTTAGCAGACAAAGCATGGGCTGGAGTGAACAAAGTATATCCATAAAAGCTCCCTGATTGCCACTATTAATAAAATTGAGGCCATAAACAAACTTATTGTGTGCTATTTCCTAAGTTTGGTGGGGTTTTGTTTTTTTACCTTTTTTGAACTGTAGGAGGTGTGTGTGTGGAGACAGACAGAATAGGTGGAGAAGGTGTATACACTCTGTGAATAATGATCCACTGCATTTTTATTTTCCAAACTCAGAGAAATAAGATGAGCGCTTTCAGATACAACCCAGCATGTTTCAAGATGCTCCGATGTGTTCGGAGGTTCCCTGGAAATGTACCTGGTTTTACTTCCCCTTCATCTTTTCCAAGGACAAGGGCATCAGAATCTTGTTCTTGAGGCCATCCCTCTAAAAAGCAAGCAAACAAATAAATAAATATAGTTTACCACAGATGGTCCAAAATCACAACAGCTTTACCCAGTGGACTAGAGTTTTTGTGATCAATACTGTCGAATGCTGTAGTATTTTTAAAAATAAAATTCTTCAGAATGCTGGTCTCCATTGTGGTCTACATATCTGTGCATGAAGAGACCATCCTTGTGCAGGTCTGCCCCTGCTGTGTAGTTGGGGTAAAGCCACCTTCATAGCAGAGTCCCCTATCCCAGGCACCATGTGGGCTCTTTGTGTGCTGTGGGAGCTTTACAAAGCAGTGGATATTCAGTGGGCTGGCTGGGGGAGGAGTGGGCAGAGAGGCAGCTGGGGTGGGAAGGATGGGCTAGTGCATAAGGCACTAAACTGGGGCACAAGTAATATGTGTTCATTTCCTGGATGAGCCACAAACTTCCTTACGTTGTACTGCAATCAGGGCTGAGTAGTCAGGGGGAAGGGAGGGGCAGTTTGCTTTGACCTCCCATGTGAGGGGGCCCCCACACCAAGAGGTCTTGGGGGTAGCTGTGTTCAGTCTCTGTCAGTGTAGCTCCAACTGAGCTGCTTTACCAAGGGCCAGAACATGAAGATAATGCTTGTGCCTTAGCTTCCTGTATTGCTCTCAAGATCCTTTTACAGATAATTGTTCTTTAGGAGGTAAGTAAAACTTTTTGTGTACCATAGAAAACCGGATAAACAGTATGACACTTAATCTACTCCCTGGGAACCAACCACCAAAGATATCTGAAATGGTCATGTGGACGTTTTTTTTTTTTGCTTTGCTTCAATTAGTGCCAGGCAACTTCTGGCTAGAAACTGGACCCCTGGCTTGGCTAGAATTTATGGTCTGGAAACATGTCACTAGAAAGGGTTATTCCCATGTTCTGTACCTCAAAAACACAGTCACATGATCATGCCCTATAGTGCAGTAATGCTGACAGAAACTAGAGAAGTAGCCAGGAGAAACATTCCCTCATTATGTTTCTTTTGGATTTCATTTATTTAGAAGCATCCATAGACAAAGCTAGTGTTGTTGTTTTAGTTGCAGTATGTGTTTAAACTCCTTCTGCACACTCTGGTTAGAAAATCCCCTTCCCCCATCCTTCCCCATCCCTCTGTACACACTCCCTCTCTCTGCCAGCTGCACAAACAATGGATCACATTCATTCATAATGTAACTTGGCTGATATCAATTAGCTATCAACAGGGATGAATTTGGCCCATATTTGGTTTGCTATTTTACTCAAGCAAAATACGTCATCATCATCATTATCAGAAGATTGCATCAGTGAGGATGCAAGTGGTAACTTGATGCATAATTTGCTTGATGCATAATTTGCCAATGTGAGGGGTCATGTTTTTATTTTGCTTTTATATTGCATCAGAGGAGTTTGCCTTTACTATGCATGTCCACCCTTTTTAAGAACTGTGTCTTGAACGCCTAAATGGCACAAACCATTCTTCAAAATGTTTTAAAAATGTTTTAATTGCATTTTACTATTTATCAAAGGAATTAAGGGTAAAATTTTCAAAAGTGCCTAAGTGACTGAGAAGGATAAGTCACGTTTTCAAAAATGACTCAGATACTGAAATTAATGGATGTTAGGTGCTTAGGTGCTTTTGAAAATCTCAGTAGGCGCCTATTTGCATTTTTAGGATCCTAAATATCTTTAAAAATGTGGTCCTTTTAAGTCTAAGTCCACCTCAGCCTTAAATTGTAACATTGCTTCTATTTCAGTCCAGAGCACCTCTTCAGCAGAGTACTTCTAAAACGACAAGATTTGTTATGTAGAGAAATGGAAACTAACTTTAGACCACAAACATACTTCTACTTGTATTCTTCAACTTTTTTAAAAGTCAGATTTCTGCTGATGCATGCACTAACTCATTGTATTGCCTACTCTTCTTCTCAAGCACATTGCAACACCTCCACACAATGTAGAATATTTTTAGTCTCTATTTAAGGAAACCCAGGGCTAGAATACCATGGATGGAGGGGGTGAGAATGTCGGGGTTGAATTGGGCCAGCTTGCCAGTACACTTGGAGACTTCCACCTTTTGCTAGAAAAATCTAAGCTTAAATTTAAATACACAAAGCCTCCAGCCCTATGATTTGTGAAGGTAATCTTCAAATTCTCTGTCAAGAATAAAACAACGCAGTGATGTCTTCCTGGCTGTGCAGACAGCTCAGAGAAGTGTGAACTGCTTCAGTCATCTTGATGGGGTGTTAGCTCTGAAGTCTAGTGATAACAATTAAAATGTTGACATTGTTAACTATTTCACTGTTTAACAAAGCATGGAAGAAAGGAGACAAGGAGCAGCTGTTGACAGTGCATATAGAACATGCAGTAAAGAAGTGAAACAGATGTATTCCTAATATGGAAATCTGCAAAATCAGGTATGAGCGACTACCTGTTTTAGCATCTGAAGTGGGCAGGGCTTGGATGTGGACAGAACTTGGGAATGTGTCACTAGGCTGTGTGTGGAAAATATCTTTTTCTAAATAGTATTATTTAATTCTTTACTTTCATGAGCACTTAAGTCCCTTACCCATGCTTTAAGACTAGAAGAAACCACATACTTTATTGTCAAAACTGTGGTTGTATCTCAGATTGTAGACTATGATTTTAATCTTTTAAAATAGCATCAGATCAAATTCACTTAACCTGTAGAACTTTATGTCACTTTCTTTATACCGGCTTTTTTCAGGCTCTGAACAAAGAGTAAGCCATTTGTGGCATAAAGTATACATAAAATTAGCAAACTAAAGCACACACTGGAGAACAGCTGGGTAGCAAGCAAATGAATCCTTTCAAAGGCTCAGCAGGTACTGGCAGGATATTCTACAGACAATGTTTGCAGGGGCCTATTAATGCAAGCCAACAGGTGTACAAAAGCAATGTTAGTAAAGCAATAGGAAAGAAGATTAGAGAGTGAAAAAGGAAGGCAGGAAGACACTGCAGAAGAAAGAAGAGGCTGGAGAACGTACAGGCACTAAATCCAAAATCAATGTGATGTTAGCAATTGCGGAATGCTGTTGCTTAAAGATGGTAACTTTCAATTCAAATTCACATGGAATGTATTAAAAAATAAACCATCCTCAGCAGATAATGGACAGTGACCAAATGTTTTTGCATTGTGTTGGCTGTTCAGTGGCCTACATGAAATGAATTAATGATATTAGGAAAATTTCCTAACTGTCAGGGTGGTTAATCACTGGAATAAATTGCCTAGGGAGGTTGTGGAATCTCCATCACTGAGATTTTTAAGAGCAGGTTAGACAAACACCTATCAGGGATGGTCTAGATAATATTTAGTCCTGCCATGAGTGCAGGAGACTGAACTAGATGACCTCTTGAGATCTCTTCCAGTCCCATGATTCTATGATAGTCTAATTTCTAGCAGTCAGCTGTCCATAGCACAAAACCACCATCCAGAAGGGCACTAACTGCAACCCTGGTTGGCAGGCTCATCAGAGAGGCCCAATACTGAATGGACATAGAAAATTAACTGTCTTCTTTCCTTTGGCCAAGTCTAAAAATTGGCTGGTGCTTAGTGTAGACCAGACCCCACCTGGTTGGGCCCATTTTTATTGAACTATTTTCAAAACATACCAATGGTAAACTCTATGGGCCGGGGACTGTCTTTTTGCTACATATCAGTACAGTGTCTGGTACTACGGGGACCTGGCCTTTAGGTACTCCTACAGTTCAAATAAATCATCATAATAATGGTGGTTTTAAAAACAACTCAATAAAAATGGTTCAGACCACCTGGAGCCTGGTCTACATTATTGCTCCAACTGGTTTTAAAATTGGTTTAGCTGAACTAGTTTTAAAAAACATTTAGAAATCTGAGGGGAAATTTTCCCAGCAGAGACTGTTCATTATTGGGCCCTAGTGGAAAACAGGCTTTAGACAAAGGCGAGGATTGAAGCAAGTTGGCAGTTTGGTAGGGAGAAGCTTGCTCTGCTGCTGCCATTTCTATAACTGTTTTGTGATTAAACAGAGGACTTCAATCACTGAGACCATAATTTAGGAAACTTTCACTAAAAATGTAGAGACAGAAAAGTAATCCATCTGATGTCATAGGACTTTAATACGCCTCAGCTTCTGCATACAATTTGTGTTCCTTAGAAAATGGCTTTCACAATCCCATGCAGAGCAAAGTCATGAAGAATATAGTTCAATGACACTGATTATGGCTGACACTGTATCACTATTCCAGACTCACTGTCTGCTTGTTCCCAGGACAAAGATGGATGCTGCAATTGACACCTCCTTTCATGTTACACTGTTCGAGATTTAAATTGATATTAACACAATTTTAAAACTTGCAGTAAATAAATTATCTTCCCCACTTTCTAGCAGTTGTCAGTGTTTTGGGTACATCTTTACACGTCTTCGCCTCAAGTTCTCAGCTCACAGAATGGCGGCTGCTGTTGCAGGTTTATAAAGAGTTACTTGTAGCCAAGTGTCATGCCAGCTAGTGTTGCAAAGGTGGCAAAAATACATAACTTCTCAGTTGAAGCCCAAGGTAGGCATTTTACATAATGGAACAGGAAACTACCACAGAAGCAAGGTACTTGAGGCCATTAAAGTAAGTGGAAAAACTTATTTTGACTTCACAAGGACTTTGGTCAGGCCTTCGATGAGTTGGGACCACATTTTCCTGAAAAGAAACTGGAGGTGCCCAAGCACAAAATATGATTTTTTACATACTGTTATTGTCATAACAGATACATATTTGAACTATACATGCTAACAAGTAATTACATTTCCAACTTATTTGGACATTAATTTTTGTGATTTGCAAATGAAATCACAATTGTAGGCATAAATTCAGCTCCTCAAGTATGCACGTGATTTTTCACTCATAGACTTTCCCCTTCTTTTTAGAAAATTTGGCCTTTGATTTCCATCTAAAGGATCTCAGCAAATACTATATTTATGAGTATTTGTGTTTAAACAGAGGACTTCAATCGCTGAGACCATAATTTAGGAAACTTTGTGAGTATAAGCCAATGTGGGGAGGGATAGCTCAGTGATTTGAGCATTGGCCTGCTAAACCCAGGATTGTGAGTTCAATCCTTGAGGGGGGCATTTAGGGATCTGGGGCAAAAATTGGGGATTAGTCCTGCTTTGAGCAGGGGGTTGGACTAGATGACCTCCTGAGGTCCCTTCCAACCCTGATATTCTATGATCTGGATAAATACCTATTTAGAAATGGAATACTGGGTGTATGCTGTATATACAGAGAGACTGCTGGGATTAGAGAAAGTAATGTTCCTGAACTTAAATCTTGGCTTCATAATTTAGTACATTTGTAACTGAAAGATAACCAAAGACATAACTCACAGATTTAGAGGATTCATCAACATTATATTTTACATAAGAAATAGATCCATCTGTTCATAAAACTCAATTTTCAGGATGTTCACACTGAAATTTACATGATGAAGCACCATATAGTTGATTTTTTCAAAGAAAGACCCTCAAGCTTGTGAAATACAACTTAAAAAAAAAAAAAGGAAGACCAGACAACATACTTTTGTACAGTGTATTCTACTTATTATAAGAAAGGCCTGGGAATCACAAAATCTGAATTCTATGCCCAACTATGCTATTGAGTTTTCCGTGGCTTTGGATAAGTCAACCTTAGTTTACACTTCTGTGAAACCGGTATGACAATATTTACCTACCACACAGGGGTGATGAAAGGTTTAATTGGTTAATTAACATTTGCAAAGTGGTTTGAGATCCTTGGATGAAAGGTGCTGTATGAGAGAAAAACATGTTTGAATATAAGAAATTCACTAAAGCAGAATGGATGTCACCAAATGTGGATAATAATCAATGGGTTTTTACAAGGCTTTTTTGTGTTCTTATAATTAGAGCAGGAGTCTACAGGGTTTAAATGCATCAACTAATGGTAGCAACAAATGGGTGTTTGGAAGCTTTAGTGCTCATTGCACATCCTGATATTTACCTTTCACACTCATCCTCCTCACATTTTGAGCACATCACTACAGAAGGAATTATGTAGCCGTTGCAAACAATGCTGACTAATCATTGTGGTGATGTTATTTCCAGAAACGCTATTTGCAAAAGTGATGCTTGCTGAGGGGCCATCACTTAAAAAGGATAGCCCAGTGCAATTGTCATCCTAGCAGTGAGTTTTACTATTTGTGAAATACTCATCAGTAGTCTGGTTAGTCAGATAGCCCACCAAGGGCTGACACTGGTACTCACAGCACCTGTCAACTGCTATGCATGATTACTCCCACAACATGAACACTTCCATGGTTTCAAGTGATGAGTGTCTGGTGGGGTTGAAAGAGAGCGTCATTAAAGACTGCTCAGTGTCAGACATCATCAGTATTCACTTAGTTTTGTTTCCTTTGTCTGTATTATCACTTGCATTGTTAACAAAGCCATAAAGACAATTCAGTTAACTTGTTACAGAGTAGCAGCCGTGTTAGTCTGTATCTGTAAAAAGAAAAGGAGTATTTGTGGCACCTTAGAGACTAACAAATTTATTAGAGCATAAGCTTTCATGAGCTACAGCTCACTTACAACAGACTGGACTTCTACATAGAGTGCTTCCGCCAATGTGCCTGGGCTGAATTGTGGAAAAGCAGCATCACTTGCCCCATAACCTCAGCCATGCAGAACACAATGCTATCCACAGCCTCAGGAACAACTCTGACATCAAATCATAATCATAAAGGCCGGGACGGGACCGAACAGGGGATGACCACTCAGTGACCCGCGCCCCCCCCCCCACTGTATTGCCCTGAGACCAGCTGTGTGGGGAGCTGTGATTAGCATCAGCCTGGTGGAGTTCCCAGAATCCCCTGGGCTAGGGAGAAGGCAGCAAGTCCTGAGGGATAACTGCAGCCGGGTCTATAGAGGCTTTTCTGGTCCAGTCCTGAGGCTGCGACCAGCGTGAATTGTTCACAGTATTGCCAAACCTAAATGTTCAAAAATCACAGGTCAGGCTCCAAATATCATGAGACTGGCTTTAAAATCATGAGATTATGTAAAAATAATAGATGTGGTGTTCTTTTTATTTGCCTTCTGTTGCTTGAGCCTTTAGGGTGCACTGGGGTCACATTTTGAAGCTTTCGCCACAGCCATGTGGGCTAGAAACTTACTTTTCCTTTTTCAGAATGAAGGCTGAAATCATCACATATTCACTTGACTCCAGGAGCTGGGGCTTTAAGAAAAACAATAAATAAATGAGACTCATGACAAAATCATGAAAGTTGGCAACACTGCATGCACAGCCTGGTCAACGGAAGACCCATCTTGCAGCAGGTGGGAGAGCTCGCAGCTCAGAGGAGGGTGGGTGTTTCTTTGTCCCTTTTTTGCTCCTTTTCAGTCATCCCTTGACTACAGGGGGAGGGGACTACTCCCCCTATGGTGAGTACTAGGCCAGAGCATTCACCAGCTTGGAAAGTGAGTTGTCTTCATTCACTAAGCCTACTGGGTAACGGTGGCAACCATGATCCAGACACCCCACCCCAGGGAGAACAGGGGGTCTGAACCCCAGAGACTAAGCAATTGAATCAACTGGTCATATACAATGTTATTATGGATAAACAAATGCCAAGTAAGGTCTTTTATGAAAGCTTGTAATGTTCTGAACTTGATGTTTCATTTGGAGATATGTATACAGGTGACAGTTACGAATGTATGTGTGTGCATATATGTGGACAAGTGTAATTGTGGTGCAACTACAGCATCACTTCACAACAGCGGGTGAATCGCTGCCCCGCCTCATTGTTTACACAAAACCAACTTCAAGTACCCATCCATCTTCCACCCAGGAAGACACAATGATGGACCATTATAGTTAATGGAAAGACATTGAAACGGAAAAAAAAACAAAACAGTCTTGGAAAGGAGGGAGTTTCCCTTGCTTTGTGTAACCATGAATTACCATAGTCTGAGAGACAGTAAAAAGCCCTGCAAACTCTATTAAAATGAGAAGGATTTGAAATGAAGGCTTTCCAGAAACTGAGGGCCTGCATCTAAGCAGCGTGCTGTCTGTGAAGCATTGGATCCACTCTAGCACAGACAGAGGGCATGCTGGGAAACTGTTTAGAGGCGATAGGTAACTTGCAATAGTCAAGGGAATTTAGCCAATACGGATGTGTAAAGCCTGAGATTGTGCCTTTACATTTATTCTCTGTGTGACTTGTATGGATTTGCTTTTCCTTACCATTTCAACTTTGAATCAATGACTTTTCTACTAAATAACTTTTTTATTTATATTTTCCCCAAGCAGGTCTCTGTTATGCAAACTATATGGAGAGTGTGTGCCAAGGTGAACTGATAATTAGGGGCAGGTTTCACACCATGAAGGGTGATAAACCAGAGGAGTGTCCGGTAGTTAAGAACTTGGGGAAATGGATTTGTGGGCACTCATGGCCAGAAAGGATTGTTGAAGTCACCTGCAAGAAGCAACTAGGCTGGTGGAAGCCAGGGTTGGACCTTATGCTTGTAGGGTGGCTACTGGTGTCAGAGCACTGAACCCTTGCAGCATAGCATTAAGACTGCCAAACTTACAAGGCAGGTGGTGACAGAACCCGTTATTGGTGTTGGTGGTCCCCAAACATCACAGAGAACAACATCTAGTGACCATTATCTGGGGCAGAGGTTCTCAAACTGTGATCCCTGGACCACCAATGGTCCGCAAGCTCTATTCAGGTGGTCTGTGGATAGTTCCCTCTAAGGTGCATGCCTGGGCGGCCGCACATGAGAGAATGAAGGGCCACCCACCTAATTAGTGGATCCATGCAGGTGCGGCTGCACTAATTAGGTACCTGGACCCTGGAGAAGACACACGTGTAAGGTGAGGTGGTGGTCTTGGGGGGCATAGGGAGTAGGTCGGAGGGTGCAGTGGTGTGAGAAGAGGGGGTGGGGGGAATTTGGGATGTGAAGGACTGTGGTGGCCAGAGAAAGAGATGACTTTCCCCAGCTCCAGGGCTGCAGCTGCCGGGGAGACACAGCCCTCCTTCAGCCCCAGCTCTGTGGCTGCTGTGGTGGGGGAGAGAGGACACATCCATAGTATTAGAAAGGTAAGACTACTGATATTATAATATGAGTTGTGGGCTTTTATTTGTAGAACAAAAAAGTTAATTATTATTAAGGTTTTTTTATATAGTCTTTTTATCCAAAGCGCTTTATGATAGTTAGCTAATGGTACAAACAACATTTCATAGAATCATAGGATATCAGGGTTGGAAGGGACCTCAGGAAGTCATTTAGTCCAACCCCCTGCTCAAAGCAGGACCAATCCCCAAGATTTGCCTTAGATCCCTAAATGGCCCCCTCAAGGATTGAACTCACAACCCTGAGTTTAGCAGGCCAATGCTCAAACCACTGAGCTATCCCTCCCCCAACCTTTGGAAAGATCATTAAGTGGTCTGCCGAGACCTTAGCAATTTTCAAGTGGTCCGTGAACAAAAAAGTTTGAGAACCA